AGATCGGTATTAGATTAAAAAGTTGCACTTATCTGTCCGGCCGAAAAAAAGATAGCTTGACAAAAAAGATGGCTTACCTTATCCGAAAACACTCTATGAGAAGGCCACCTTGGACCAGTAAAACTAATTTAGATATAGAAAAAACCTACTTTTAGAAAAAACTGAAGAATTGACGAAAAAAATCAAAAAGAAATTAAGTTTATTTCCAAGTCTAATCAAGCCGAGCGAATACTAAAGACCAAGCCAGATCACAATAGAGACAATGAATTAATTAACAATAATCAAAGATGCTGACTACAAAAGTTCAAACCTATTTTTGCAAAAAAAAAATTATTTAACTGTTATACAAACTGCATCAAACAGCAGCCGTAAATTTGACATAAAAAGCGATGTTTTGAAAAAAATACATAAACTTCTAATAATTAATCAACAACAAGACGACGACAAAAAACTTTGCCTACCTGCAAATGGAAAACCTGCAGTAATTTTTTCAAAACTGTTTTTGTATAACTTATAAATAAATTGAAGGAAACAAAAATATACACTATTAAATAGAAAAAATTACGTTAAAAAATAAGTGTTGTTAAGTTGATAAGGTTTTTTTTGCTTCTCAAGAATCATCCCGTATTGTAATCCTTCCCAAAAGCAACCCAAAACCTGAACTCTAACTCAGTTAAAGACAAGATCATCAAGAGAAGCGCTCTCTTGGATTTCTCACCATTTTATAATTATGTCAATTATATAATCATCAAAAGTTTTCCTTGATTTTCAATTTCGATCTTAAAAATTTGTTTTTGAAAACTAAATGAGGTCATCAAGTCTTCTCCTTGAATCTTTAATCTTGAATCTTTTCGATCAAATCTTTTTTGAAACCGGTCATCGAGGCTTCACTTGGATCTCTCAAATTTTTCTATTCACATTCAGACCCTACCCTATCAATCGGAAGTCTAACGACCTCAAATGTCGATTTACTCTCCAATCTTTCTAAAAAACCCAGGACTAATTGAAATTTTTCCCAAAATATCCACCTATTGAATCAAACTAAACAGTGAAGAGCTTCGGTTACTCATCCGTTACGTTACCTCGTACCTCTTATTCGACCCAAAACTATAAAAAAAAACCAAGAAATTGTGAGCTCGAAATGAGTATCTAACGCTCTACTTGTGTTCAACTTATACGTGAACCTTGTGGATTGATTTACTATTCTATAATTTTCGATATCTTATCCATCCCCATTTAAATAAGATTATAAATACCAAATGCAGAAAACGCCACGTACGTTTTGAAACAGTAAAGCATCATTCTATCGAGTTGATATACTCTTTCATCAATCAGTCTCAACACAACAAAAGGACCTGATGTTTTAGGAGAACCTCCAAAAAATAGAAACAACTAACAGTCTAGGAAATAGCAATTAACACCTGGGTTTTGCACCACTCATCCTAACACGTATGTCAAAAGATAGATTAGCAAAGAAACAAAAGAATAGTTTCAAACATTTTCTACTCAAATTCCTAGATACGAACTTGTCATAACACCACATAAAGAAAAAATAGCATATATCAAAGATTGAAAGAAGAAGACTTTTATCTTTATTTTTTAAAAAGTCATTCTAGAAAACGAAACGCAATTTCAAAATCTGATACAATAAACATACTAATCTCGAAGAACTCCAAACTGCAAAAAAATGATAAAATTAAACAAGTAAGCAAACAAAGATTTATTTCCGATTCAGAAGCAACTAGAGCGTCTTCAATAAAAGGTAAACAAAGAATTAAAAAAATTATAACAAAAAACCAGTACAAACGACCAATACGACACAAGAACTTATTAAAAGCTACTCATTAAAGTGAAATCACTTGAAATCATTCAAAACGACGATAAATTTGAGGAAAACTCTGTTCTAATATCTGTCACAATTCCAACCAGCGACCCATCACGCGGTCAACTACAACTTTGCCACAACCGCATCATAAGTTCATTTCGAAAAAGCAATAGCTCATGCCAACAGAAACTTCCAGAAGTAAAAATTAAAAAAAAAGATAAATGCTAGACCATTAACTACAAAGCATATGTGATATAACTTCACAATACGATGTATTCACGATTGAAACTTTATTGACATAATTCAACACCACCACACACATTACAAACAGATGATATAGAACTAAGTTTCTCAAAAGTTTTTGAAGAATACATCTAACTTTTACAAAACCAAAATTCCCAACGCGCGATTCAATACTCACTAATGATCTTTGTTCAATCATATATAGTTACTTTTCCATATTAGACACAGATGAAATTTATCAACACCAGAAGTTTCACCACCACAAACATCCCGATATACATTAGTAAGAACAGAAAAAATTTCTTCTAACAATATCAATAGCAATTCTCAAAAAAATCACTCATAAAGAAATTTCACGTGGCAGATTTAACAGATTATGTATGGATCAAAAAATAAGCGCGGAAACCACTTTGCCAACCGTATCTTTACTTTTTTGCAAATAATCAAAAAAGTCACCCAATAGCACATCCAATTAGAAAAACAATCACAATATACTTAGAGCCAGCAACCATCTATTATTTAAACCTCACAATCAGTAAACTTACAAAAAAAACCAAACACTACAGGAGACTACACTGAAAATTACCAGTTTTTTCAACAAAAAAAATACCCAACTAATGGACAATTCTGTAACAAAAATAAATCTCAGTTCTCATAAAATGAAGATTATTGCAACAACAACAACAAAAACAGCAACAACAACAACAACAACAACAACAACAACAACAACAACAACAACAACAACAACAACAACAACAACAACAACAACAACAACAACTACAACAACAACAACAACAACAACAACAACAACAACAACAACAAAAACAACAACAACAACAGCAACAACAACAACAACCACAACAACAAGATAATTCTAAGCAACAGAAATACCAAAAATGGAAGAACCAGATGATAATTACAACTAGATATTTTTGAACCAACTTGAGACGCACCAAAACAATCAATCACAAAACATTGAAATTCATTTGAAATAAAAAACTTTTCACAAACAAATCATAATTTACAGAGGCAATATACAATGCTTACTCGAGGTTACAAATTAAAGTCAATGAGAAATGAAATACCAAGGCCATACTAATTAAATCAACTTGAAATTAGCCAAAATCAACTTACAAACTTCATCCAATTAGCCAGCACAACAGAATCACTCCAAATGGAAAAACTAAAATTACAATACATTTCTAACTTTCAAACCACTCCTTTTCAAACAAAAAACATACAGAGCTCAGACACTTAGTCAGCAGAAAAAATAACATATATACTTAATATAAACGAAAATAACCCAAATTACAAACAAACCCCTCATTCAGACAAGGGTGTAATTTTTTCAGAAGACTTGGACACATAATCGCTAAATGTAGACAAAAAGAACACGACAAATCAAGACATCCATC